AGGGGGGGGGGCGATCTTGCCGTATACTTGTCTCCTTTTTCTTGCCTCCCTTTTTTCTTCCCAGTGATCGTGTACGATTCCGTTGTTGCGCGGCTAGATAACGTTCGTCTGTGCAGCTTTGACGAATGTGGATTAATATGGGCGAAGGAAGAGACGAGGCACGAGTGGAGTGAAAGAGAGTGAGTCGAAGAATATTTTTTTTTTTAGCTTCGAAGGATATAATCTTATAATTTTTGATAAATTTCGTTAAATTCAAAAGTGATTTACTCAAATGATGAATAGCACCGAAGTCGTAAGCGCTAATTATACGTCATCATCCTAGACTGGTGATATTTAATTAACGAGATCCTGAATAGTTTCCTTTCCAATTATTGTTCAAGCTCGGATTGATCTTATCGTGAAAACAAAACTCTAATGATGAATAAATAACGGCAAACGAGAGTGTATAAATCCGCGCTACTATTTGTTAGATGAATAGTGAATTTCTTTCGCTCTTTTCAATTTAATTAATTCCAAGAAGTAGTTCCTTACATAAACACGATTATAAACACCATTCATACAGAAATCAATGGCTCTAATTCAACTTTTTACTTTTCTTTTTCTTTTTTTTTTTTTTTTTTTTTTTCTTGTAACAAATTAGACTAAACTAACAAAGACAATTTTCTTCACTTTATAATACGCGATTCGCGACACGATTTGTAATACGAATTATCGTACTTCCGGTACGATAAAATTTCACTCTTTAAAAAAAGTTTAATCCCGAACTCTTAGCAATCTCAACTTTTCCGATCGGGGACTATCAAATTACGCACAATATTTCAGTACTGTCACCTGGCACAGTTATTACAACCAACTAATACTCATTCGAGCGCACCGATCAAAAAAAAAAAAAAAATCGTAATAACTTAATGTATAATAATAACACGCAATCTGGAATACTTTAGACTCGACATAAATCCAACTCAAACCGCTTCGACCACCCTGTATACCTTATCTCCTTGCACAGTCAAAGCGGCATCGGCCGGAGGCGATCGCAGAAGACCGCTTCTGGTCACTGACGATCGGCAACCGTGTTTCGCGGAATACGCGCACAAAGCGGACAGTAGGGAGAGCTCGACGATCCGATAGAAGAGATCGTTACGCGTGACTCGTAGAAAGCAATCGAACGGCCATTGTGTCCCGAATGGATACGAGTGGAACCGTGCAACGTAATTTAAATTGCTGAGAACATCGAGAGAAAGAGAGAGAGAGAGAGAGAGACACTGATCCATAGAAATAGAAGAAACGGGAGAGAAATGTAGATAGGAGAGGTCGGTCGAGTTGAAACGCTGCTATCTCCAACGACCGATCATGGTGGCTATTTAATAATAATCGGTTGCCAGCCACCGATTCCTTCCACTAAGTCTATCCGCATGGACACTTTTCCCGCGTCTCTCGATATTCCCGCATTCTAGACGTCTTGATTACAGGTTGCCCGCCACTTTCTAATGCATCGCTGCAATACTTTTTTTCTTTTTTTTTTTTTTTCTTTTTTTCGTTTCCAAGTGAAATCGGCCACATCGACTCGAGCCCGTTCGCTTCTTTCAACGAGACTAGTCTAGATTTCGAGCATTCGAATATTCTTCGCCTTTCTTCCACTTTGGCCAAGGGGCCAAGGTTCCGAGCGCAGGTAGCCACGCGTCCGTCTCTCGAAAGTGACGGCGATATTTCACAAGTGTTGGCCCAAGTGACTGATGACCCCGAGGAGCCGCACGGTGCAACGGAAATCACGATCTAGCCGAACGACGAGGACG